CCCCTTATACATCCCCTGTCCCATTTCATTGTCTTATCTTCATTATAGAAATTATAACCATGTAAAGTGACTCTATTCTTTCCTTCCTTCCTTCCTTCCTTCCAATTGAAGCCAGGGGTGCTTTACTACTGAGTCAAATCCCCAGCCTTTAAAAAATTTTTTCATTTTCTTCAGGGTCTCACTAAATTGCTTAGGGCCTCGCTAAGTTGTCGAGGCTGGCTTTGAGCTCACAATCCTCCTGCCTTAGCCTCTGGAGTTGCTGGGATTATAGGCATGCACCACCATGCCTGACAACCTTATTTTCTTAATTGTCTAGTTGTTTAAGGACAGAGATTGCGTATAGAACAGTGCCTGGCATGTAGGGATGCTCAAGGAATATTTGTTGAAGTAATACTCTCTTTTGATGATACCGAATGACTCTTCTTTGACTCCAGGTGGGAAGGATGCGTCTCTCCATTTTCCACCTTTTGTGCCCCATTCGTCAAGTTGCTGTCTGTGGTTCTGAGTCCCAACACCATGGATCTGTCCTTGGTGCTGACGCAGGCTTCCAGTTTCCTTAAACTAGGGAGGGTGGGGGGATCTTGGGAAGGGGCAGTGTCACCTGTAAGACCCAGGCATTGAATCCTTTGCATCACTGAGGAAAGGCAGACATCCTGAGTGCCCAAGGGAGGGAGCAAACGGGTCACTGAGAGTTGAGTGGGGATTTGAACTCTCTTTCATCTATTCATATATATGTATGCACTTATGCAGTGGTTCCTTAGTATCTGCAGAGGATTGATTCCAGATCCCACTCCGCCTCCTGCCCAGGATACTGAAATCAGGGATGCTCAAGTTCCTTATATAAACGATGCAGTATTTGCATATAACCTATGCATATTCTCTTGTACACTTCAAATCATCTCTAGGTTATTTATGATGCCTAATCCAGTGCAAATGATTTATATWCGATCTGCAGTTGATCGAATCCACAGATGAAGAATCTGTGGATACACAGGGTTTACTATCTATGAGAGCTTCAACCATAGAGAAATGAAGAGTACAATAAACTTGCAGGAATACATTTTAAAATACCTTCTATGCTTCCAGCCGCTTCCTCACTTTCTATGTTATTTAAATGCAAATCTCAGAAATGATATYATTTAATTATATGTTGTATTTTAAATTATTTGCTTCCTGTTGAGATATGACATACCTAGTAAAATCCACAGGTCTGAAGTGTATAAACTGGTGCAGTTCTACTTACATGGAGATTCGTGTGGCCCCTCCTCTAGGTGTCTCCATCTTCTCAAAGGGTCCTTTTACACCCTCTTCCAGAGACAGCAAGCATTTTGAACTTCTGTCACCAGAATTTTAAAAGTCACAATATGGAAATCCAGAGAACTGGGTTCTAGCCTTGGCTTTGCTATTGATACTATTATTTTTAATGAATATGTCGTATGTGCAGAAAGTACATGAAATAAGATGGGCATGGTGGCACACACCTGTAATCCCAGCTGCTCAGAAGGTTGAGGTAGAAGGATTGCAACTTAGCATGTTCAAAATGCAAAATAAAAAGGGCTGGGGCTGTAGCTCAGTGGTAGAGCACTCCTGGGTTCAGTCCCCTGTACCTCCCCCACCCCCAAATAGAAACAAGTTTCTAAAGGCCTCCGACATGGGTGAGGTCAGGAGGATCTGAAATGACAGGCTCTGTCGAATGTTCCAAGAGAATGGCATCAGCACCTGCTTGGCTTCTGGTGGGGGCCAGAGGCTGCTCCAATTCATGGCAGGAAACAGAAAGGCAAGCCAGTTCATGCCAAGGACACAAGGCACACGGGATGGCCTTGTCCTGTGATAACCCACTCTCACCAGAAGGCCTCAGGTTCTCCTTAGGACCTAATCGCCTCTCAAAGGCCCCAAACACTGCAACGGGAATTAGCATTCAGCACGAGATGTGGAGGGGACAGACCTTCTAGGAATGAACTCTTGGGTCATTTTACTAAGTAAAGACCACCAGCCAGCTGAGGGCAAAGAAGACATGGGATGAATAATAGAAGAAGGAAATTAAACACATCAGTGTTGACCTTGTGACCAGTTATGGGAATGCAAGCTGTAGCAGCTACATTTCTTTTCCTTGGCTTCCCCCTTCCTTCCTTTTTAAAAAATATTTTCATGTATATGTTCATCTACTAATTTATTTTAGTATTGTTTCTTCTTTCCCTTTGTTGTTTTATGTAAGGATTGTAGGTGGTCGTGGACCTGGTGGTGTTTTTTGTTTGTTTATTTTTATTTTTTACTACTGAGCTACCTCCCAGTCCTGTTTTGTTACTATGTTTTTAAAAAAATATATTCAGTTGTAGGGGCTGGAGTTGTAGCTCGGCGGTACAGTGCTTGCCGGGCATGTGTGAGGCACTGGGTTCGATTCTCAGCACCACATATAAATAAATAAAGGTCTATCTATCAACAACTAAAAAGAATTTTAAAAATATTTTCAGTTGTAGATGGACACAATACTTAATTAACTAACTTATTGATTAATGTGGTGCTGAGAATCAAACCTAGTGCTTCACACATGCTACAACCCCAGCCCATATTATTAGGCTTTTAAATTTTGAGACAGGGTGTCGCTAAGTCACTGAGGATGACCTTGAACTTGTGATCCTCCTGCCTCAGCCTCCTGAGTGGCTAGAAGTATAGGCAGGCACCACTACACCTAGTTGGTCCTTGTGTCTAGACATCAAAATTTTGTCAATAGAATCCATGCTTTTTCTCTGCTGTCTCCTTTGCTCCATCAAAACCAAACATTTCCTGCACATTATGAGACAACAGTAATTATTTGCTGAAAGAGTAGTACAAAAAATGGCTATAGATGACCATAAATTAAGATGACAAGACATGTATGTGAATGGGGTAGACAAAAATGAATGGTATGCAAGTTTAACTTCAATCAGAATATAGATAATAAAATATTAAACATCCCCTGGGTAATTCAAAACCAATCAACAAAATGCAGACCATATCTTCTGGATCTTTTAGTCAATTCCTTTCTTTCTTTTCTTTTTTTGGTATTGGGAATTGGACCTGGGGTGCTTTACCATGGCATTACATCCCAGCTGTTTTTAATTTTTATTTTGAGAAAGGGTCTCATGAAGTTTCCCAGGCTGACCTTAAACCTGCAATCCTCAAGCCAGGCATGGTGGCGTATGCCTGTAATCCCAGTGGCTCAGGAAGCCAAGGCAGGAAGATCATGAGTTCAAACCTAGCCTCAGCAATTTAACAAGGACCTACTCAGTGAGACCCTGTCTCAAAATAAAACATGAAAAGAGGCTGGGGATGTGGCTCAGTGGTTAAGCACCCCTGAGTTCCATCCCTGATACAAACAAACAAACAAACAAACAACAAAATTGCAGTCTTCCTGCCTCAGACTCCTGGGTACCACTGCATCTGTTAGTCAATTCTTTTTTTTTTTTTTTAGTACCGGGGATTGAACCCAGAGTTGCTTCACCACTGAGCCACACCCCCAGCCCCCTTTTATATTTTATTTTGAGGCAGGGTCTTGCTGAGTTACTTAGGGCCTTGTTAAATTGCTGAGGCTGGCTTTATACTTGCCATCCTCCTGTATCAGTCTCCCGAGTAGCTGGGATTATAGGCCTGCAGCACCATGACCTGCCAATTCTTTTCTTTAATGTGTTTCCTAAAATTTAAGAGTTCATGTGAGAAGATGACTGACTATTGGAAGTCTTTACCCCTTTGCTCCTTTAGTTGTAATTAAATACATAATTTTTAAGAAAGGTTTTTTGTTTTTCTCTTTGCCTCTTTCTTCATTTGCCTTTTCTGCACCAAAAAGCTTTCTATCTATCTATCTATCTATCTATCTATCTATCTATCTATCTATCTTTTTGGTGATGCTGGGGATTGAACCCAGGGCCACACGCATATTAGGCAAGCACTTTACCACTGAGCCAAGTCCCCAGTCACCCAAGAAAACTTTTTAAATCTCTTAAACCTTTTATGGAAAACAATGTACTTATAGAAAGAGCTCAAATCATAAACAGACAGCTCAATAAATTCTCAGATCAAGTAATACAATGACTGAGTCCCCAGGAACCTCTGTATTCCCTCTTCTAGTCACTAATCCCTGTGGATAATCACTGTTCAGATTTCTAATTTCATATGTTAGTTTTGCAAACTCTGCCAACAAAGTATTTTTTAAAATTTAATTAATTAATTTTATTATAATTTTTTTGGTACCAGGGATTGAACCCAGGGCTGCTTAACTACTGAGCCACATCCCCAGCCCTTTTTATTTTATTTATTTATTTTTTAAATTTTAAGTCAGGGTCTCACTAAGTTGCTTAGGGCCTTGCTAAGTTGCTGAGGCTGGCTTTGAACTTGCAATCCTCCTGCCTCATCTTCCTGACCTGCTGGATTACAGGCTTGCGCCATTATGCCCAGCCATTTAATTTAATTTAATTTTCAGTACTGGGGATTGAACCCAGGGACACTTTAGCTCTGAGCTACATCCCTGACCCTTTTAAATTTTTATTTGAGACAAGATTTTGCTAAATTGATGAGGCTGATCAAGAACTTGTGATCTTCCTGCCTCAGCCTCCAGAGTAGCTGGGATTTCAGGTACTCCCATGAGCCACTGTGTGGGTCTGCTGATGCTATTAACAGAGACAGCATCATGGATCCTTCCTAGCACTGTGACTGGGTTCTAGAGGAAGAGCCTGGGAAACTGTCACAGGTTCCTGTAGTAATGGCTATTGTCAGAATTGCTCCTTGGTGGGGCAGGGTGTGACTGTTTCTTGGGGTGCTGGTGACTGGGTCCAGTTTCTTCCAGGCTGGCTAACCAGCCCTGGGCAGGGTGGTGGTAGGCAAGCAGGAGGGAGAGGGAGGTGGATGGTCATGGCCAGAGGGACAGGGGTGCTGCTCTTGTTTTGACATCATTTTCCAGCCGGGGCTGAAGCAGTGAGGAGAAGGAGGTGTGTGTACCCTGCCCAACATCCCCGGGGGCAGAGGAACTATATGGAGAGCCAGAGGGATCCTCCCAGAGAACTGACCAGAAGAGGGGCTAGGAGGGCCAGGGTCATGATGTGGGGCACCCGGGGAGGAGCAGCAGCTGTAGGGGTGTTGAAGGCCTGGGTCACGGAGTCCCTGTTGCAGAGATGCCCTTCACAGCAGGCGCCCTGGAGGTCAATGGCTGTCCAGGGGCTGGTGGTGCCCATGGTGGTGCAGGAGGGCCGGTGGCAGGTTCTGATGTACACAGGGACTGAGAAATTGCCTGGGGTGGGCAGTGGGGAGGGATCAGAACCAGAGAGGCAGTTGCACCTGAGCCTCCACCCTAGAGGCCATGGCCAGTGCCACGACTTCAGTGCTTTCTCCTTCGGCCAGGGCCACGCCTCCTCCCTCAGACTGGGGCTGTCTCCCTGTCAGGCCTGTCTTGTGCCTCTGCCCTGAGAACCGCCTGGCCTCCACATCCCTGGCCCAGGTCCATGCCCCCTTCCAGCCCCTCACCGGTGGTCATTCGGCCATTGCCCTGGAAACAGACGCTCTGGTCCTGGTGACACTGGACCCGTCGGGACTTGTCAGGAGAGCAATCCTCGGGGTGGGTGCCCACGCAGGCGTAGCACTCGGTGCCGCTGAGCCTCGGTGGGTCAGGTGCTAACAAGAGAAAGTAGACGCGCATCCAGGCAGTCGTTCCCAGGTACCGTACCGCGGCTGCGCACTGCACCGGGGTGCCCGCCGAGCCCACAGGGCAGGCTGGCGAAGGGGCGCGACCGCCGCGGGTGCTCAGCGGAGGCCACGCCCCACCCGGCCTCTGACCGCCCCGCCCCGCCCCGCCCTGCTTCCCACCTTGACTCAGGTTGGGGATGACGTCATGGGTCACGAGGTGGTTGTTGCAAAAGTCTCCCACGCAGCCTCGCACCACCGAGAAGTCCGGCGGCAGCGCGTCTTGGTTGGACTGCATGGAGCCGGCCGTGGGTCCCGTCCAGCAGCCCTTCTTTATCAGGGTGACCGGTGCACGATACCCTGGGGACGCGAGGAGGAGGGGCCTTGAGTTCAACTCTCCTCCTTCTCCTCTCCCCCACCTCCGCCAGGCTCTTCTCCCCTGCTCCTCCCTCCCTCCTTCCCCTCTTCTCCACCTAAAGGTTCCCTCTCCTCTCCCTCCTTTCCCACCTCCTTTTCCCACCTTCTCCGTTGTCTTCTCCCTCCCCATCTCTCTCTTGTGCCCCACTCTTTTCTCTCTCCTCTCCTCTCTCCACCTGTCCCTATCCTTGGCTGCCTCGCTAGCAATTTCCCCTCCTTTCCTCTTTCCTCACTCCTTCCCTCCCCTCTCTCTCTCTAATTTCTCATTCCCGTTCCTCTCCCCTCTTCCTTTCTTCTTCTGCACGCCCTTCTCCTTTTCTAGCCTCTGGGAGGCCCTCACCAGTGTCCAGGGACAGGACAACCTCAGAGCATCCGTGGGGACAGGAGATACTGGGGAACTTCATGTCACTGAGGTCAAAGGGCCCCGTGTAGGTGTGCTCAAAGCTGTAGCACTGCAGGGCTCTGGAACCTAGGAGGGGCGAAGGGGCGGGATCAGCAGGGCCAGGGCAGGAGCCTTTCCTAGGGACTCAGGGACCACACAGGGCCAGGCCCCTCCGCCCAGAAGGAAGCTGGGCCTTGATGCCCTGAGAGAACAGGGTCTGTTATTGCAGCCAGTCATGGTTGGGTCTGTGTCACCGCAGAGCAATGGCCTCTCTGCAGTTTTTCCTCCAAGTTGTTCCAGGTCTCCACCCTCATCCAGGAAGCCCTCTAAGACTTAGATAAGGGAGGAGGAAGTGATTCATTGCCTCTGTCCATCCCTCCCCAAGTAAGCACATTAGATACAGTAGCACTAAAAGACTTCCGACGGGAAACAGGTGCCCCAGTTGAAGTCCAGTGAGGTGCAGTTTGGTGTGATAATCTCACACACAGCCAGCCCAGTAACACACGCACAGAACACTAAACACTGAGGTAAGGCAAACTGAACTTGAAACAGGTCCATGCACATCTCATAAACACAGATGGAATAGCCTGAACGAACCCATGCAGGGTTCTACAGTCTCACACAAAACCAGTGTTCATCTGGACGCCCATTACAAACACTCCAGCCCAAGGCGCAGAACCTCAGGCTTGGGAGTATGATTTTGTATACATTGTTTTGAGGGATTCAGAAGTGCAGGAAATCATACCAAGGGACAGAGAACTACAGACCCAAGAATCACATATATGCAAATAAAACAAGACACCACAATTAGGCAAAGTTAGAGATTATTGAAAATGATACCATAAATATATACAGTTTAAAATCATTTGTGTGTGTATATGGAGAAAGACAGACCCACAAATCAGAGATGCACAGAGACACAGTTATACCTAATTATACACATCTCTCTTATACAAAGAAAATGAAGTTCAGAGATAAACAGAGCCTCAAAAGCATTTTTTAAAATACGCAGACATCAAAATCTGGCACAGAGAAACACACACAAGCACAGAGACCCCAAGGACACACTGACAACACACAGAGCCCACACTCTCTCCAGGGATGCACAGATACACGTGTGAAAGGAATAGCCTCCCGCTGCCTCTCTGACTTTCTCTTTGTAGCCATTGCCATTCTGAAATGACATGTCCCCGTCCTAGACCAGTTAGGGGAAGAGGAAACCTGAAGATGAGGCCAAGGTCCCTGAGAGTTTGGAAAAGGGCACTGGTGACTCCCCAGAAATACCCTTGAATGTGGGGCTGGGCAGGGAGAGGGAAGGCTGGAGTCATGGAGAAGATAGTTACTGGAGAAAATGACTGAGAAGGGGAAGAAGAGAGAGGAAGAGAGAGAAATGAAGTGAACATAGCCTCCAGCCTCTTCCCCGCCTTAGACCCAGGAGTCCAGCCCCAGCCCTCCTCCCTCAGACCCAGGGTCCAGGCCCTAATCCCCCTTCCTCAGACCCAAGGGTCTGGGCTGCAGCCCTCCTCCCTCTGAAGCAGCAGTACAGACCCCCAAACCCTTCTTATATCCGGCTCCAAGGTTGAAGTACCTGTCCAACAGAGCACAGTCCCAAAGAGGCAGAGCAGAAAGGCCCTGGGGACCCCCATTGCCGGAGTGTGGATCTTCGCCGAGACACCCAGGACAACTCCTGCTGCTTGGTTTGCTGTCTGGCTGGTTCTTCTTAATGAGCCCAGGCATCCTGGCTGCCCAGCCTGGCCAGAATTCCTCCACCCCACCCTCCCTTATGTGGGCTGATCTCCTAGGTAATCATGACCTGGCCAGGATGAGTCCTGGGTGCCAAAGGAAGAGGGATTCCTGGATTCCTGTCCCAAGGAAGGAGCTAGGGACCTGCAAAACTTAATTTGTGGGGCACAGTGGTGGGGTTTGTGGTCTCTTCCTCCCCTCCTCCCCATACTCTATCCTAGTCTGAGAATAGCCTCTTGCTTTTTCTTCTCTTCCCCTACCCCAGCACACGCTTCCTGCGCACTCAGACACACATAGCTCTCAATCCTGGGGCCACGTCTCCAGATTTAGAGATACACACACATCATCCCCTCCCTGGGGCCATCTCTGACCCTCACCTCCTGGCTCAACAGTCTCTCCTCGGCCTCCAACACCACCCTCTCTCCCAGCCCCGATCAAACTAGGCTGGGCTGGTGTCTGTCTCCTGCACCAGGCTATGACCTCCTCAGGGGCCTCCAGGGATGGCTGTGATATTGCAGAATAAATGAATGGATGAATCAATCAATTAATCAATCAGTCCACAAAGAGGCACAAGAGAGAAAGAAGACAGATAAGAGTCAGGTGCAGTGTCACATGCCTGTAATTCCAGTGGCTCAGGAGGCTGAAGCAGGAGGATCGAGAGTTCAACTACTCTCTTTTTTGGGTGGGGAGTACCAGGGATTGAACTTGGGGGCACTCAACCACTGAGCCCCATCCCCAGCCCTATTTTGTATTTTATTTAGAGACAGGGTCTCACTGAGTTGCTTAGTGCCTCACCGTTGCTGAGGCTGGCTTTGAACTTACCATCCTCCTGTCTTAGCCTCTGGAGATGCTGGGATTACAGGTGTGCGCCACCCTGCCCAGCTGGATTGTGAATTCAATCAGACCCAGGGGTCCAGGCCCCAGACTAAACACACACACACACACACACACACACACACACACACACAACCAGATGTGGACAGATGTAAATGTAGACACAGAGACAAACTCAGAGGGAAAGAGGGATACCTGATGGACGGTACATGACCACAGAGGGTGTTTAATGAGAGTTTATTAAATGCATGAAACAGGGCTTGCTTTGCTAGCACAAATCCTAGCATGGGTGAAGATCTGAGAAAGCAGACGGCGCTGTCCGAGGAAGTCTGTGGATAAGGAGCTGAGGGGTGGGCTGACAAACTAAGTGAGCTTTCTGCCGGCTCTGATGCTGTCTTTTCTCCCAGGGACGATGCAGACAGAGCTAAGAGCAGTGGGTGGTTTGTGTCACTGTTCCTTCTGGTTCTGTCCCAACAAAGCTGTGATTGAGGCTTTCGATAATCCCCACTTGTACGAATCTGTGGCTCCTCCATCACTGATTTTATCATGTTATTTTAGAGTTTGCTTCTGTGTGGGTGGACAACCGTGTGAAGTTACTATTAATATGGTATTTTGTGGTGGTAGGGATGGAGCCTGGGGCCTCATGCACTCCATCCCTGAGCTCCACCCCCAGATCATGTGTGTAATTTTGCATAAACAACAAGTGAAGTAGCCAGGTGCGGCGGTGCGCGCCTGGAATCCCAGAAACTCAGGAGGCCGAGGCAGGAGGATCACGAACTCAATATCAGTCTGGGCAATTAGACACTATCTCAAAATAAAAAAAATTAAAAGGGCTGAGGATGTTGCTCAGTGGTGAAGTCCCCTTGGATTCAGTTCTTAATACCAAAAAGCAAAAAATGAAATTAAAAAATATAAAAACACCAGGGAGAGGAATACGCTGGCACTGGAGGACACACACACACAGAATCATGTGGACACTCCGACATTAAACAGGTGAGGGTGTCTACATGGATGCCCCAGTAGGCTGCTGGAGTTGGGGACAGAGACCTTGAGCTCGGTCTTCTGACCTGTCTCACTTCCTGCTGCCTGGAGATGCTGCTGCCTGGGTCAGACACATCCACATGTGCCAGGTGGGTCAGGTGGGCACTGGGCATGTGCAGAGTCCGAGGATCATGGACCCACAGATGGATGGGATATCAAGTCAACATGATGGCAGCAACCAAGAYGGTCTGAGTCCTCTTGGTTTGACTAAATTTTAGACAGGTCTTCCTGACTCAGGGCCTCCAGTTGCGTAGAGCACTGCTGTGTCTGAATGTGTCCCCGAGAGGTTCATGTGCTGGATGGAAACCTAATCCACAGAGTCATGTGTGAATGGAATTTGAAGGTGGGGTCTATCAGAGGTAATTGGGATAATATGAGGTCTTCAGGGTAGGGAACACGTGACGGCATTAGTGACTTCATAATAAGAGACCTGAGCTAGTGCACCTGCTCTGTTCCACCATGTGATGCCCTTGGACCTTTATTTTATTCATTTATTTCTATGTGGTGCTGAGAATCGAACCCAGTGCCTCACACATGCTAGGCAAGTGCTCTACCACTGAACCACAAACCCAGCCCCCACCTCGGCCTCTTACGATGCAGCAAGAAGGCCCTCACCAGATGCCGGTGCCTGTTCTTGGGAAACCTCCCAACCTCCAGAACCATGAGCTAAATAAAACTCTATTATGTATAAATTAGCTAGTATGTGGTGTTCAGGGATAGCAACAGAAAATGAATCAAGACAAGTACTTGCTTAAGAAAACTTGTCATTTCAATTTCTTTCTCTGCTCCCTTTGAAATGGAGGTGAATCTTTTCTGGCCCCTGGCTGACTTTTCAACCTAGAATGGTCTTCCTTAAGGACCTGGGAGCCAGGACTGTGAAATATAATCATCAAAGAAGACGGGGCTCCTATCTCCCAGTCTTGTGTGAAGTTAGGAGCCTAATTCTGATAAGGGACAATGAGCAAGCACAGTTGGCTCAATCAGAGAGATAAACTTTTGCAACCTCAGGAATAACTCTAAGTCCTGGACACATCCGTTGACCAGCTTCCTTCGGTCTCTCTCCGGTACTTTTCCACCAGCTCTTCCAACATTCAAAAGCCCTCCCACTTTTGTTTCCGTGGACTTGAGTTTATCTTCCCTCCTCTGTGGCAATCTTGAATAACATCTCCCTTGCCTGTTGAACTTCATCTGGTGCAATTTTTCTTTGACGGGAGACACCCAGCCACCTTGGACACTCACGAACATAGTTCCCCTGCCCTCATCTTGCCAAATCTCTGTCCCTCCCGTCAGGCCTCACTTCCCAGAACCTGTTCAGCACCCAAATTACTCTTCCTGCTTCTCTGGTTCCTGCCCCAGGCTGCCTGTGTGTGTGTGGGGGGAGTGTCCAGATGGGGGCAGGGTGGACCTTAGGGCCTCTGGAAAGTGGAGTCTTGTTTCAAAGGAATCTGGGTTCCCCGAAGCCCCTGTGGAAGGTGGAGGAGTTGGAGGTGGTCACAGGAGTTCACAGTTTTAGAGATTGGGGTTTATGGAGAAGGCAGACCAATGGCTGGGGTGGATTTTGACTCTGGTAACCTTTAGGAACTTCTAGAGTCCTTCAGGTTATCAGATAGGAAGTTCCCCAATACAGGAAGTAGTGATCACAGGAAACAGTGATTATAAAAACATAATCTCTGGGTTCACAGGGAGCTCAGTGTTCATTGAATAGCCCTCTGCAGACGCAAGATTCCCACCAAAAGCCCTAGCATTAAATGAAATGTATAGGGGGCCATTAGTTTAAACAGAAATCCTGCACTAAGCCAAAAAGACTCATACCAAAATGGACCTAGTGACCATTACTAATGTCAAAAGACAAAAATTACAATAAATGTAGCTTAAAGATCTTAATGGACTTTATTTGTTGTTATCAAATCTGGCAAAATTTCATTCCTTAAAATAAAATGAGTGTTCTAATGAGCTGAGCAAAGGAGGTTGACTTTGTACACAGAAGCATTAACGGCAGATAAAAAGCAGATCAGTCATTTCAAAACAATTGTTCTTTTCTACAGGTTAAAGGAGCCTTGTTGGACTGGCTAAAATGGCTTGTTTGGTGAGTTGACTATTATCTTTGTTTCTCCCGATTTCTTGGATGGTGAGCTAATTTAATTTCACTTGGTAGCATAGGACTTTGGCATGAGTGACTCCATTCTGGTTTGGTCTTCTGGGCTTAGTGCAGGACCTCAATCCAAACTGATGGTCTCCTACATGTTTTATTTAATGCTAGACACTGTGGTTGAGACTTTTGGGTTTGCACACAGCTATACAATGAACCCTGGGCTCCCCATGAACCCAGAGATTCTTTATTATTTCATAATCACTTTTTAGTAATTAAACTTTAGTAATGAAGTCATTAATTACTTAAGAGCTTGGGGAAAACTGAGGCCATTTTGTGGTAGCCATTAAGGTACTATTTTAAACATTTTTATTTTAGGAATTTTTAAACACAAGCCAATGTACAGAGAATGAAGTACACATCATGCAGGCTCCACAATTGTTGAAATGTCACTGATCTTGTTCTCCTTTCCCTGTTGGTGCTTGTCAGAGCATTAGGTGTATTAAAGTGGGGTCCTGTGTTATTTTGCTCAAAATATTAATTTTGCTTAAAACACTATTTAAATGTAGAATTTTCAGAGGCTGGGGCTGGGGCTCAGTGGCAGAGCACTTGCCTAGCATGTATGAGGCACTGGGTTTGATCCTCGGCAGCACCACATTAAAAAAAAAAGTATTCTATATACTACAATAAAAAATATTTAAAAAGTAGAATTTTCTTTTTCAGTACAGGGGATTGACCTTAGAGGCTACTGAGTTACAACTCCAGCCCTTTTTATTTATTAATTTTGAGACAGGGTTTCGCTAGGTTGCCCAGCCTAGTCTTGAACATGTGATCCTCCTGCCTCAGCTGCCTGAGGAGCTGGGATTACAGGTGTGTGCCACTGCCCCAGGCTCTCGAAATAATTTTTAACTGATTGTAAACAGTCTTTGCGTCCCAAAT